CCTTGTATTAGTCGACCTGTCTGGTTTACATTCCTGTTATAACAAGGATTGTTCTTTTGAAGGATTTAGATCGGATGTTTCGACGCTCATTATCACGTTCGATTCGTACCGTTCTCGCAATTTCTGTTTGATTTTTGAATTGAGGACTTTATTTTATTTAAGAGAATTCCAAGTCGTGAAGAAGAAAGCTAAAAAAAAATACAAAAGAAAAAAAAAGAAAAAATCACTCAGAGCAGTTTTCCCAATTACAAGTCTTGTATCTAAGACTGCAAAACTTGATTCACTTTCACCGTCAAATTTGATTTGCCTTCGCCGCTGAAATGGATTCGCCTTCACCGCCTTTGACAATTTCTGCTTCATTCAAGAAGTCATAGTAATTTACAGATAATAAAGAAATCTATAGAAATCTATCATCGTCTACGACATGAAGAGAAATATAAAATTAAAAAAATAAATTATTATACATTTTCAAATCTTTGTTCTCGCGTTGTTTAAAATATTGTGTCTGTATCCTACCTATAAACCAATTTATTTGAGAAATATATATATATTATAATACAAAAATATAATGTAAAATAATTTAACACGTAATCAACTATATATATATGTGTGTGTGTGTGTGTGTGTGTGTGTGTGTGTGTGTGTGTGTGTGTGATGTCATTGTTCCGTGTTTAAGAGCTCTCCGTTTTACGTATACTGTATAAACAAAGAAGTGTCAAACAAATGACAAGGTGCCTTTATTTCAAATCGTCTGACCACTTTCAACCATGTACAGGGTATCCCTAAAGTCTAAACACATTGGCAAAAATGCTTAGACAAGAAATGTTATTTTCAACAACATTTTGTTGAACTGAAATTGTTGATGCGCTTTGCAAGATTCACATGAACTCGATACAGTAACTTCACATTGCCGTCAATTTTAGCACATTCACTCTTTATGCGTTCAATCAAGTGTGTTTCATCTGTGAATTACATTGAGTACCCCTTCTCCTTTACCAGAACCCATAAGAAGTTAAATTCTTTCTTCTTTCGACAAAACCATGTTCAATCCGGATATAAAATATATAGTTAATAAGATTTCCTTTCTGCCCAGATTTTAGTCAGACCCTATAGATTGTAATCACATGATTTTTTGTAGTCAGGTTCTGTTAACCTGATATAAGAGATGTATCTTCCGATCACGCAGTCCTTCACTCTCTTTGGTTAAGGTACGTTGCTGTAAATACAGCACACAGTTACTTATATAACATGTTGAAACTACGTAAAAATTAACTGAAGCTTCGTTTTAACGTCGAAATAAATCGTTTAGCATTTGACAAAAAGTTTTAAAAGCAAATTTTTATGTCATATGCTTTTAAAAGCAAGATTTTTATGTAATATAGATAATAACTTCAGACGGCCGATATATATATATATATATATATATATATATATATATATATATATATATGTGTGTGTGTATGATTAAATAAGGAATAAATTTAAAAGGTTTATAAATATAAAATAGTTCGTTACATTTATCATAACTTCAGTAGTAATATTTTGGTAATATTTCGAAATTCATGCTGTTTGATTTCATTGGTTGTGTAAACAGGATAGACTTCGAAATACTGAAATATTCTCCGCGTATCACCTCATCCCATAAAAACGTTCTGATGAAAATACAATAATGATACCGAAGCACGTCAAATTTATAATCGTTTTCCTATTTGTCCCTTATTTAATCCACATTTTTTCATTTATATATATATATATATATATATATATATATATATATATATATATATGAAAAAAGAATGTGTAGCAAGTGTTTGAAATTCAATTTGGACATATGCGTATATAAACAGTTGCGCCGACTCTTTAATACACACACACAGGCACACACACAATTATATATATATATCAAATATATTTGTATATCATATATATATATATATATATATATATATATATATATATATATATATATATATATATATATATATATATATATATATATATATATTCAAAAAGTGTAAGGAGGCACATGATTTGACTGTGACAATTTGACGCATAAAGCAAAACCGACAGACATGTTAAATTATTTTAAATTTGAACAATATCAGTGAGGCTCCTTGCCATGAATGTCTGTAGGGACTCAATTTCCCTGACAGACCTCAAACATTATCTGTCCTACATATCATAAAAAATATCCTCATATATTCATCCTTAGAGATATTGGAAAATGTTTCTTTCCTTGTAATGCTTCAGAAAGTAACTGACTTCTTCCCCCAAGAACAAGAGACAAAAAGGCGGTATTGCTTCCCCATCGGGACTAGAGCTGCTCAGATTTCTATTTCCAGCCTTGCCAGAGTTCAAAAGCATGTGGACAATAAATTATTTTCGACAGCCCTTTTCCCACAGACGAAAAGTCAAGCTTTTCGCTACTCTTATTCTTTAGTTTTGCCAATTGAAATATTTATTGAGTTGAATCATCCGTATTCGTTCCACTTCGACAGAC